CCCCCTTAACCTTACCCACTTGGCATTTTCTCACATCATTTAGAACTATTTGTAAATCTTTTTAATGACTGGATATTACCTATCATATGACTGTATCATAATTCACTTAAGTGTTCCCTCATTGAATATTTAGTTTTTAAATTTTAGCCATGTAAAAATATGATGAATTAACATAACACAAATCTTTGCTAGCATCTTATTTATTTTTCTTTCATAATCCTATATATTTAAAAAATTAAAAAATTTTTTAATGTTTATTTATTATTGAGAGAGAGAGTGAGAGAGACAGAGAATGAATAGGGGAGGGGCAGAGAGAGAGGGAGACACATAATCCAAAGCAGGCTTCAGGCTCTGAGCTGTCAGCCCAGAGCCCAATGCAGGGCTCGAACCCATGAACTGTGAGATCATGACTCAAGCCGAAGTTGGATGCTTAACCAACTGAGCCACCCAGGAGCCCCAAAATAGGTTCACATTTGCCCACATTTTAGTTTATTTTCTTAGTCTAGTTTCCTAGACAGGAATTGACCATGTCAAATGATATTGTTGCTTTTTAGGTTTAAAATGCCTGTGTTGATGCACCCTTTCTAGCACTGACTATTATGATTATTTTAATATGCTAATTTAATATTTTAAAAAGTAGCTCAACAACTTTGTTTTAATTTAGGTTTGATTTTTTCTTCTAGTACGTCTAAGCCAAAAGAGTCTTTAAAAGTTCTCAGTTTTTTATTTGCAATTTAACAACTGCTGTCCTGGTGGCAAGACTCTTACTTTGGGGGTGAGACTGTTATCATGTGAATTTGGGGAAAAAGGAGTAGAAAATGGGGTCACTTGTATGTTCTGTGTTTTCTGTTTCTTTTAAGGTTGGACTTCCTATATAGCAGAAGTGGGAAGGGAACTAGTGTTACTGAGTGATCACAGTATGGCAGGGCCTGTGCTAGGTCATACCAGCTCCTGACAGGTCAGACCAAACTTTGAGCCCAAAATCTGTCACAAGCCACAGCACTGGAAACATTGTTCTGACACTGATCTTTGGTTTGCTAGGGACTATGGTTTCATTTTTGCGTAAAATATTTGGGATGTGCCTTAGAAAATCTTAGGACTTCTCTTAGTAATCCTTTGTGGACCTGTCATCTTTGAATTTATCTAACCCTTCTTAAACTAACTTGTATTTTAAGCCTACCACATCTATTAATTATAATAATAATTATATATTCAGACTTTAAATATATTTCATTATTGTTGCTGATTTATTAATTTTGTTCTTTTCATTTTCTCCCCCTTCCTTTATAGTTATTTGAAAATTAGTGTTATACCTAGTGAGATTTCCATCCTGGTCTATGCCCTTTCCATTCTTCCATCTCCTTACCTAGATGAAGTGGAGATATCTCGAATTGAAGCAGTTTTACCACAATGTGACCTAACTGACCTGAATAGTTTCGCCACATCTGTTTTAAGATGGATTCATTATGATCGCACATATCTGGATAATACTACTGGGAAACAGCTGAAACTACTTCAAAAACTAGATCACTATGGTCTTCAGAGACTACAGAAGTGCACCAATTTGAATCTGTTATGGGAAGAACTTAAATCTTTAAAAGGAGACTGGTTTGCTGAGTCACTTCTTGAAGAAACAGTTGCTACTTTACACCGTTTGATGGATGAAATTAATTACAAAAATGTGGCTGAGATTGCATCTTTTCTTTCTAGAACTAACTACCTCAGTACTTTGCTACTTGATAGGATAGCTTCGGTGGTCCTTCAGCAGACTGAAAAGGTGAAATTGAGTTTTATGTAGTTGTCAGTTTCTAAAAGAATAAGTTCCTCATAAGTACTTTGAGAACTTAATTGGAATTTGAGTTTAAAAATTAAATCCTAGTGTCTGGTGCCACAGTTTGTTCTTCCTCTAAAGTTTCTTCCTCCCGCAGTATAGATTTGGGGAGATTAGCAGTCATCTTTTGGTTCACTACAATGTTTTTAGGATCTGTAGTCAACTTTCATTGTCTAGAAGGAAATACTTAATAGTAGTTGTATTAGGAAATGGAGTATGAATGATTTTTATTTTCTTTTTATTTTCTATAATCCTGTAATATTACTTTTACTAAGAACGACTCCATCAAAAGCCCAAATGTGAAAAATGAGAAAAATATAAGCTGTACACTGACTTGTGTATTCTTAAATTGTCAGTGTGTTTTCTTACAGATTTGTTTCTGGAACTTGTAAAATGTTGCTTTTTGGATTATGTGAGAAGAAGCTCACTTATTAAAATTTCTTGTATATATCAGATAAGGCTTTTACTTATGAGACAATATTTCTCCCAAATTAAAATAAAAATCTGTTGTACCTGACAATCATTAAGTTTTGGATGAATGAGTGAATAATGAAATTAAAAAATGAATCAATGAAAGAAAAATAAATGCTAATGATTATAAACTAATTAGCTTCCTTAGTTACATTATATGATGGGTCTCTATAATGCGCTGATAGGATGGAAATTAGTGATACTATTTCCTATTCATTTTAATGACTAATGAATCCTGGAATAGGTTTTACACCTAACAAAATTAATTTGTATTTTATCTGATTAATTTTTTCTGCGTTGATACTAGAGTTACTAGAAACTAGTGGTAGGATTAAGTAGATTATAGCAGGGTGGAAAAATTAATAAGTAGTGCCGCATTTATCGTTTTACTGTAGGCATGTTCATTTAACTCTCAGCACGTTAGAAAAAGATTTCTACCCAAAATAATAATTAGGTTAAAATTTTGTTTTGTTTTACTGAAGTTTAAACTGTAACATTTTGTTGTGTTTATACAGATCCACCCTTTTGCGATCCTTCCTATTATTCTTCCATTTAGCGTCTTGAACTATGATCCACCTCAAAGTGATGAATTTTTTGGAATTTGCGTTCAACACCTTAATTCTTACTTAAGTAGGTATATTGTTTGGCAGTACATTGAGTAAGTAGGTTGGAGGATACCATTGCCATTGTGGTAAGAGATATCCTTCATTTAAGGGGTAACCATAACAGCCATGAGTTCTAGACCTAAAAAAAAGTTTGTACCCATTTTTGAAGCATTTTTATTATGAAAAAATGTCAAACTTGAAAAAATGGAAAGAATCAAAGAGCCCCTATATACTCAATGGGCAGATTTAGTAATTGTTAACATTTTATCATATTTGCTTTATTGTTTGTTTCTCTTGCTCTCTTACTTTTTTTCAGAGCCATTTCACAGTAAGTTGTGTTGTGACCCTTTACCCCTAATTGCTTCAGCATGTACCTCCTAAGAATAATGACCTCTTCACCATAATACTGTTATCACATCTAAGAAAATGAGTAGTCCCTAATGTCTGATACACAGCCCATGGTTCCCCAAATACTCTTCAGAGTGGTTATTTTGGACCCAGGATCTAATCAAGGACCACCTATTGCATTAGGATGATACCTCTTTAGTCTCTTATAATCTAGATATTCTGTTTTTTTTTCCTTTCTCTTGTCATTGACCGATACTATGATATGAGAACTATGTCTGATACTACTTTGTCTGCAAATAGATAAGTAAAATGGGCTGTTGTGATATGTATATATTTAGTCATGAATGGGCGTATGCACGTGTGGCATTCATATACACCCTTTTTTAGTAACAGAATTATGTGTAGAAAGAGGAGACCTGAATCTGAGACTTAGGGTGTGCTCTCCCAGTTGTTCAGTCTTGTGTCCATCAGAAGGAAATGAAAGCATATCCTTTTTTTTTTTTTAAATAAAATGTTTAAGAGAAGAAAGGTTGAGAAATATAGCTTTGATTTTTTAAGACTTATTAAGAGAATGTTTGGAAAATTCATGGGAGCCTTTATAAGTAAAATTTTAAATAATGGTGATAATTTTCTTTATTTTGAATAAATACAATTTTGACAGGTTACTATTAACCTCATTTATGACTTGATTTTGATTTATTAAATAGACTCAGCAAAAAAATCCAGAAGAAAAGATTTAACATCTTTGTTGTCCTTTCTAAGAATATTGCTGTCAATAGGGACCCCTTCCTTCTCATCAGAAATGTCTCTTGGATAAGGCAAATCAGCTAAATAACCTTAGTCTTGTACTCTGGGACATGTGTCATGCTGTTGGGGGACAGGAAAGTGAGGAACTGCTATATGAAATCTGAGCTTCACATGTGTCTATACTCAGCCTGGATATTTGAAATCCCTACACAGCAGCACAGAATAGTAGTCTAGCCTCCACTTGCTGCTAACTGTGTGACTTTAGGCAAGTCATTTAACTTCTCTGTGCCTCTGTATACTTATTTACAAAGAGGAGATAATAATTGTTCCTGCCATATACTGAAGTGAGATTTCAGTGAGTTAATATATATGTAAAGTTGGAATGACGCCTAACACATTCTCTTTTTTTTAAGTTTATTTATGTATTTTGAGAGAGAGAGAGAGAGAGAGAGTGCACACACGAGCAGAGGAGAGGCAGAGAGCAGGGCAGAGAAAAAGGGAGGAGCCTAATGTGAGGCTTGATCTTATGACTGCAAGATCATGACCTGAGCGTTTATCTAGAGTCAGTGGCTCAACCAACCCAGCCACCCAGGCGCTGGGATACCTAACACATTCTGAACAATATTATATTGTTACCAATTTATAAAGACTAGGACCAGTTTTTACATACACCATTGACCTTTTGTTTTGAATTCTTTCTCTTTTCAAAGCAATTTGAAACACTTTTTATGGAAGTGAAATAATAATACAGGAACATTTACATATCCTTAGCATGTAGTATGAATTTATACAAATTGAATCACCCAAGGAATCTGATCCAGGTGAAGAAACAGAGTATTACCTCAGTATCCTTCTCTCCTGTCCCCCTTTCCTACTCTATTCCCACCCAGATGTAAGCACTTCACCACTATCCTGTCTTATTAACAGTATAGATGAGTTTTGTCAAGGCTGTGTTTGTATTTAAAAAAGGCTGTGTTTATATTATTTTTTAAAAACCTGGTTTGAACTGAATAAAGTGTGTACTTATGTATATGTGAAGTGGTTGTACATTATAAATTTTTTAATGGTAATTTTGTTTTAGGTGTACTGGATCCTCTCATGTTAGTGTTTCTTGGTTTCTCTTTGGCCACACTTGAATATTTTCCAGAAGATCTGCTGCAGGCTATTTTTAACATTAAATTCTTAGCCAAAATGGATTCTCAACTTGAATGTATGTACCTATATTTTATCAAATTATTACTTGTGCTTTTAGCCAGGTTTCAACTCTACCTCTACTGAAGCACTCGAATGTTAATATATGTTTTTCTGTTTATAAAAGTATTTCCTGCTTGTAGAAAATTTGGAAAACATAGAAAAGTATAAAAACGAAAGTAAGATATTACTCATCATCTTTTGCCAAGTGAAACTACCACTTTAAATAATGTTTTGGAGTGTATCTTTTTTTTCTGTCTGTCTCCTGTTCTTATGTGTGTGTTTATATATCTATCTGTATTTTAAAACAAAATTTGGATTATTTATATATCACTTTTGTATGTTGCCTATGGTCATTGAACTATATTTTGAACAGTTCTGCATGCCATTAAGTATTTTTTGATGTCATGATTTTTTTAGTGTCTATATAATCTGCCATGATGTGAATGTGATAGCATTTGTTATCATGTAAGTTGTTTCCAATTCTTCATTATTATAAATAATGACTGTTATATATGAATCACTGACCTCATCTTTGTTTCTTTAGGATTGGTTCCTAATGTGAAATATTAGGTCAATGAAAATTCTTTGGTTGTATTTTTAAAAATGTAGTTCTAATGTTTGTGAGTAGTGAAAATGACATAAGAGTTGTTCCTAATCAAACCATTGAATAATTAAAAAATATAAAGCATGTGTGTGCAAATGAGATGATTTTATAATATGAGACTAAAAGTACTAACAAATAATGGGAATAAATGAATGTGAAAAACCTGTTAAAATCCATTAATATTTTATTTTTGCTTTCAGTTTTATGTTCATCTTTAAGTATGAGGGTCCAATTACGTCTTATGGAGTTAAACAGAGCTGTCTGCTTGGAGTGCCCTGAGTATCAGATTCCATGGTTTCATGACCGCTTCTGCCAACAACAGTATAATAAAGGTTTGAGTTTTCTTTGGGTCAGACAGCAAAGTTTAATTCCAAAGTAAACTTTAGTTAGTACCTTGCTAAGCCTAACCATGACACCAGAGTTGCTGTGAGTGCCATGACCTATTTAGTAGAACCGTTCTGTAGGTGAGATTTGTGTTATAAGAATTTCTTAATACTTAGGACACTAATCCTCTTTTGGTAGAAAATACAGAACTTACATTGTTCTGAATTTAATATCATTGCATATGGTATACTGAAGCTCTTGTTGAAAATACTAATCTTTGTTTTTTGGTTTGCAGAATTGGGATGATTTTTATTAAAAAATGGATTAACCTATTTTAAGTGAAGTAATTATTTTTATTTTCATAAAGATACTGGCAGCATGAATGGAGCACAACAGCAGATTAATAAAATGTTAGCAGAGGTGTTAGGAGGAACCAATTATGTAAAAGCCTCGGTTCTTACACCTTATTACCATAAAATAGGTAAGTATTTGGCAGGTTACTAGGTACTTTCAGAAGACTAAACTAATTTTTTTTTATAAAAGTTTGTTTGTTTACTTATTTACTTATTTATTTATTTTTATCACTCTAAGACCACTTTTTCATTTTATAATTATTTTTTTAAATATGAAATTAATTGTAAAATTGGTTTCCATACAACACCCAGTGCTCATCCCAACAGGTGCCCTCCTCAGTGCCCATCACCCACCCTCCCCTCCCTCCCACCCCCCATCAACCCTCAGTTTGTTCTCAGTTTTTAAGAGTCTCTTATGCTTTGGCTCTCTCCCTCTCTAACTTTTTTTTTCCTTCCCCTCCCCCATGGTCTTCTGTTAAGTTTCTCAGGATCCACATAAGAGTGAAAACATATGGTATCTGTCTTTCTCTGTATGACTTAATTCACTTAGCATAACACTCTCCAGTTCCATCCACGTTGCTACAAAGGCCAGATTTCATTCTTTCTCATTGTCAAGTAGTGTTCCATTGTGTATATAAACCACAATTTCTTTATCTATTCATCAGCTGATGGACATTTAGGCTCTTTCCATAATTTGGCTATTGTTGAGAGTGCTGCTATAAACATTGGGGTACAAGTGCCCCTATGCATCAGCACTCCTGTATCCCTTGAGTAAATTCCTAGCAGTGCTGTTGCTGGGTCATAGGGTAGATCTATTTTTAAAAGTTTTTTTTTTTTTTTAAATTTATTTATTATTTATTTTTGAGAAACAGAGTATGAGCAGGGGAGGGGCAGAGAGAGAGGGAGAATTGCAAGCAGGCTGCACGCTATAGGCACAGAGCCCCACACGGGGCTCGAACTCACAAGCTGTGAGATCATAAACCAAAATCAAGAGTTGGACGCTTAACCAACTGAGCCACCCAGGCGCCCCAGAAGACTGAACTAATTAAAGTAGAATTGTCTCATCAAATGGAAATTTCCAAACAGACTGAAATAGAAGAGTACAGTGATTTCTCAGGTTCTCATGGTCCAGCTTTGATAACCGTCAGCATTTTGCTGTTTTTCAAAAAAAATTTTTTACTTATCTTTTACTAATTGTAAGCAAAACCCAGGGGCTCCTGGGTGGCTCAATCCATTAAGTGTCTGGCTTCGGCTGAGGTCATGATCTCACGTTCTGTGAGTTCGAGCCCCGCATCGGGCTCTGTGCTGACAGCTCAGAGTGTGGACCCTGCTTTGGATTCTGTGTCTTCCCCTCTCTCTGCCCCTCCCCCACTCATGCTCTCTACCCCCCCCAAAGTAAATAAACATTAAAAAATATTTTTAAAAAATTCTAAGTAAATCCCAGGTTCAGATTCACTGAACATTCTTAGATCTTCAAAAGTTCTTTTCCTCTCCACTAAGTACCCTGAAACAATTTCATTGTTTTAAGCTTATCATAAAAACTAAGTTGGATTATCAACCTGGATGAAGATTTCCATAGGTACGTATGATCAACTCTAACCTGGTTAACCTTGTTTCTCAGTGGTCTAGTTGTAGAAGGCATTCTGATTTCATCATGGATGACATAAAGTTGGTTGGCCAGCTGATAAATTGGGTGGCAACATAAGATTTTTTTTTTTTAATAGCTAAATTCAGGGCACCCGGGTGGCTCAGTTGTTTAGGTGTCTGACTCTTGATCTCGGCTCAGGTCATGATCTTTCAGTTCATGAATTTGAGTCCCACATTGGGCTCTGCACTGATGGCATGGAGCCTGCTTGGGATTCTGTCTCTTCCTCTCTCTCTGCTCCTCACCTACTTGTGTGCTCTCTCTCTCTCTCTCAAAATAAATAAATAAACTTTAAAAAATAGCTAAATTCAAATGTGGACTTAAAGGAAAAGATGAGGTTTTAAGAGGATTAACATAAACTTTATAAAATTTAGGATTAGAAAACTTCTGCATACATACAGGATGTTATAAAGTGTTAAAAGCTTGATATAAACTAATACTGTAAATGGTTACCAAAAGTCAAATACTGTTTTAAACTATGTTATTAAGAATAACAAGAAAGTTGGTAGTCTCACTGTATTCTGGCCTTCAGACATATCTTAGTATTGTATTCTTCTTTTGAGTGTTACATTTTGTGAGAGTGACAAATAGGGCCGGAAACAAAGGATCTAGAAATCATGTCTTACAACTAGAGAGAACAGGAACTGCACAGATTCCAGTCCCTGAGCAGAAATGGGTGATCAGATGGTGTGTGTGTGT